TATCTGCAAATACTCACACAACATGCATTCTCCTTTTTTGGGTCTCAGTTTATCATTACTCGAATGTGCATTGTTTATGTTGTTTGATGGTGTTGTTTTTCGGCATCATGCTACTAACTCCAACTATTCTCCGTCTATCTCTCATTGAAATCTCCCCAAAATTATATAAATAAAAATGTGGTTCACGGTAGAATGTACATGCAGAAATTCATGACGAAACATTCATAAATTAAAAAGTTCTGGGAGGTAGAGTGGGGTCACCCCTGAGCAGCCTTGGTTCAGGGGATTTCCCCCGGCACAGGGGCCTATTTACCTGCAGCACTAAAGGGGTTAATGACAGGGCACCCATATTTTCCTGACCTGAGTGCTCTTACCAAGAGCACTGTGGTGTGTGCAGTGTCCCCCTATGTCTATCTCTCAGAGCACTGTGGTGTGAGCAGTGTCCCCCTATGTCTATCTCTCAGAGCACTGTGGTGTGTGCAGTGTCCCCCTATGTCTATCTCTCAGAGCACTGTGGTGTGAGCAGTGTCCCCCTATGTCTATCTCTCAGACCACTGGTGTGAGCAGTGTCCCCCTATGTCTATCTCTCTACATGATACCTCAAACTTCCATCTGAAATGTTGTATTATGTAAGGCAATGCAGAACACATAGTGAAGAGGTAAACTTTCTCAGACAAAGCTAAGGGGTCACGCCTGCACCCACAGAACACATAGTGAAGAGGTAAACCTTCTCAGACAGAGCTAAGGGGTCACGCCTGCACCCACAGAACACATAGTGAAGAGGTAAACTTTCTCAGACAAAGCTGAAGGGTCCCGCCTGCACCCACAGAACACAACATGGGAGTACAAAACTAGGGTACACACAGCAAAACGACATAGCTAAGAGATGTGCATCTGCACGTCTGCTCGTCTGACCTGCTGTTTCTGCCGGATGGTTGCCTCCTCCGGATGCTCCTCGGCAATCAGCTGCTCGGCCAGGCTGTTCACTTCTGCCACTTTGTCCTCGTGGTTTTGTAAGTCCTGGACCACGGAGAGAGAGAAACCATTTCTAACAACCGGCTCAAGTACTCATGGAGAGAGAGAGAAACCATTTCTAACGACCGGCTCACGCACTCATCAACATTACTCAAATTTCTTGTTTGAGGATTTTATCCAACAGTCACACTTCAACATTTCTTTTCACATTTTCTGACATTTATCATTTATACAGGTATTACAAAAGTCTCCTAATATACACAATGTATAAGCCTAGTCTTAAACCCCAAGACCACCTTAAATCTCAGGAAAAATGAACAACAAAACAATTATTGCTTCCAGATGGCTAGCATCAAAGAGCTCCCACAGATGGCTACCCCAGCATCAGATGGCTCCCATTAGCTTTCAACAAACAAATCTAACCAATAAACACCATCACTTCTTTTACTGAAATGGGCCATTTGCTTCACTATCCTGCTTTGTTTTTTAGTTTCTAAAATCAATATGTTGACTGCAAACATAAACAGTGAATACAAAAGCAATGCTTATTAACATTAACTGAAGAGGCTTTTTTTCGGTTCAAGAATAGCAGCTTTATGCAATAATAGGCAGATAGACAGACAGTTAATTCAGATAAGAAAATAGAACAAAATACAAAATTAGGCTTAAACACACATACTAAAGTAAACCCTGATAAAAAGTCAACCCTGATAACGAAGCATCTCAACAAAAATGTCCTACAAGCTTACACAGGAACAAAAAAACTAACGGAAAGTTTGTCAACTTTTCTTACAAGGAGCACAGTTGCCATGCGTACCGACCTTCATAAACTCATCAAATTTCTTTTGGAGAACTTCCACATGCTCCAGGTCAGAGCCAAACTCCTCCGATGTTACAAAAGCATCCTGAAACAACAAAGGTTTCATCTCAGTCAAAGTCTGACGAAATTTCACTCAAAGTCTGTCTACATGTCACCATCTCACTCAAAGTCTGTCTACATATGTCACCATCTCACTCAAAGTCTGTCTACATATGTCACCATCTCACTCAAAGTCTGTCTACATATGTCACCATCTCACTCAAAGTCTGATTACACATTAACATTAAAGTTTACGTATTGATCTTCTCTTTCAAAGCAAATAGGTTCAACTTGTATTTGTTGGGAGGGACATAGAGAAAGAGAGTGTAAGCAAGAAAGAAAAAAGTGGGCAAGACAAAGAACAAAACAGCCAGAGTGAGAAAGGCAAAGAGAGACTAACAGAGACAGGAACAAAGAGAAAGTGAATGAATGGAACATATAGAATCAAATCAATGTACAACTCAACCTATTTTTCTTGTCGAATGTAAAATCCAAAATAACCTATATTCATTAGAAAATAAAGGCAAAGCAGTCATTAACAACTTATAGTAAAAATAGAGAGCTAGAAAAGGCAATAAAACAGTAGCGACAACAAGGCAGTCCAGCTTCTGGCATAGAAGTAACATTTGTGACCTGAACTGGCCACAGAGCTCACATTTCCAACACAACAAATTAGTCATGAGAGATAAAAAGACCTGAAGCAACCCCCTCAAACATTTCCAAACAGATAGATCTAAGTCTTGTCAGTTTGTTCGTGTTTGAGCCCATGAAATCCGCAGCATGCACTTTATGCTTTCAGAGAAGCTGAGAATATTTGTGAGTGTTCTAGAGTGTGCCGGGGAATATCACTTGTACAACTGACACAGCTTGCTGTGGAGCGTGGACGTGCGGTGTAGAAATGTTATCATTATTATCATCATTATCATCTTTATCCGTATTCTCGTAACTGACCTTGTCGTTGATCCAGAACATGACCTCTCGGCACTCCCTCATGAACTGTACCAGCTTCAGGGCCTGCTGGAGTTTGGTCCCTTTGTCCGCCAGTTTGGACAGCAGCAAGGCCCACAGTCGGTGAAGCTCCTCCAAGCGTTCCTGGCACGCCACACACACAGAACAGGAGAGAGTGAAACCTTGGTACACACATACACAACACACATATACAACATACACAACACACATATAACATATACAACACACATATACAACATATACAACACACATATAACATACACAACACACATACACAACACACACATACAACATACACAACACACATATAACACACACAACACGCCCCACATATAACAGACACAACACACCCCACACATACATACACAACACACAACACAGACAACAACAAAAATTTAAACCTCGGTATATCTTACAATACACCACATAAATAACATACACAACACACTACATAAATAACATACACACCACACCACATAGACAACATACACAACACACCACACAGATAACATACACAACACACCACATACATAACATACACAACACACCACACACGTAACATACACAACACACCACATATATAACATACACAACACACCACATACATAACGTACACAACACACCACATACATAACGTACACAACACACCACATACATAACCCCATATAGTGATACTTCTTTACAGCAGATTTATTTTCAGTCTCCTTCCTCTCTTTACTTCCAACATTCTGTGACTAGTTCATCCACACCTGTACACGACACTGGACTAACTCAACAGTTCAACCACACCTGTACACGACACTGGACTAACTCAACAGTTCAACCACACCTGTACACGACACTGGACTAACTCAACAGTTCAATCACACCTGTACACGACACTGGATTAACTCAACAGTTCAACCACACCTGTACACGACACTGGACTAACTCA